GTATATTCCCATTAAAGTTTCAACATTGCATAGTTGAATAGTGAATAAAAATAAACTGTCTAGAGAAGGTGATTGCGAGTTGGTGACGATTGAAGATTAAGGATCTACGAGTAGTTGTCATAGTCGCTACAAAAACGGTGTAAACGCTCTATATATGTATATATAGTTCTCACATCCTTTGGATGTACAATAATAGTTTGATATTCAATTGCAAAATGTACATTTTTCTTATCGTCGAATAATAGTTATATAGAGCGATTGATTCAAGTCAACTAAATCATGACAGTCATGCTTACATTTCGATCACTTGCGTATATCTGTTTCTAATAGTAAGAAAAAGAAATTACCATCGTCCTTCGCAATGCTTGACTTATTTAACATGTTATTTACTGCTTGTTTTTCTCTCTTGTTCGCTACTTGCATATTTTTCATTTCTAACCGAAATGAAAAGTATGTAAGTCTAATTGAATTTGACCATAGAGAAAGTAATCACACTGATGATTCTTAACAAGATTCGATTCTATGTAAAGTTTATTATCTACATCACTGAAGAAGATCATTCGACCTCTACAATATTGTTACTATACTAGAGCACTTTTTGGGATATCGGAAATGAAGGGAGGAACTTTATGCACTTCATTGTATACTCAGTTTCTTATTTAGCTTCTCGAAATTTTACATGCACAAGTCCATCATGTCGATGATCCTAAATTTCGAAAATACAGTCGTGTACGAATGAATCTGTAAGTTTTTTTCATTTCAAATTGAATTTTGCAAAAAAATTCCTGGATCTTCTTCATGACACGGAGATTTACTATTTACTCGATACAGAAATCTTTTTAAATACAAATGGAAATGATAGTCTTTCTAATTCATCTGAATTCAGTGAAGATATATATTATATAAATTTCATTTTCTAGCGATCGAAAGCGTTTAATATACATTTGAATTTCGTTACAGGATATATCATATAGACCTTCTCTTTTAATTAGTGAAATATGTTTAGAATAAGATGATGCAGAGCATATTTTCACTACTGCATAGTACTAATCAACGTACGAATGCCGAAAGACAATACAATCAGAAGCTGTCATCAATAGAAAATACAAGATATATGTGTTATATAGTATCATCGAATTTGGCAGAAATACGAAAATAGCTGTTTCGATTTGAACTGATATGTTTTGTTTTAAATTCATGTTAAAATCAAAAATATCATATTATATTGAGCATGCCAGATTAAGAAAAGAAAAAAAAACGAGACACAAAAAGAAAATTAAGTTTCGATATTTATTTGTGCATTTTCGGTTGATAGTTTATTCGTTTTTCTATTTCTGTCTAGTTAGAGATTTTAAGTGCAATTATAAGCAAGTCAAACTATCATCCACAAAATTTATCTACTAATGAAATAAAAACAGTCAAAATGAACAAGCATACCACACGGAAGCCGATTATTATTCGTGGTGAAAATCTTACTATAGAAGATTTCGTCAAAGTTGTTCGTCATAATCATCCAGTGGAATTATCCGAAGATAATGTTGTATGCAGTCGAATGGAACAATCAATCAGTATTATCGATAATATTGTGAAAGCCTCTTTACCGCTCTATGGTGTGACAACACTCTTCGGCGGTCTCGCCAATCGTACAGTATCAACTGAATTTGCTGCCGAGTTACAAAACAATTTAGTTTATGCTCACAAAACTGGCGCGGGCTCGATCATGCCACTAGAATCGATTCGCGGAGCTATGCTGTTGCGAGCCAACACTCATTTAATTGGTGCCTCAGGTATCCGTCGACAGTGGGACGAGCGACTTGTTCACTTCTTGCGCGAAGGAGTTACACCGCTCGTACCTGAATTTGGATCTATAGGAGCGTCAGGTGATCTTATACCTATGTCGTACATTGCTGCAGCCATATCTGGTGTAGATGAACGTGTAAAAGTAGATTTTCAGGGTGAAAAGATCAGCGCACCTGAAGCACTGACTCGACTTGGATTCAAACCTGAATTATATAATGCAAAAGAGGGTCTGGCCATGTTAAACGGAACTAGCGTGATGACGTCTTCGGCATCACTTGCTTGTTATGATTTTTACATACTAATGGCTGCTACGCTACAGGTCCACGCGATGACTCTGCAAGCACTTGCTGCCAGTAACCAGCCATTTAATCCATTTCTTCATAAAGTTAAAAGTCATCAGGGACAGGTATGTGAAAATCATTTTTAGTTCACTAGATAGAGATACTCTAGTCCTGAATATTTTCTTGAATGTCACCTCAAAGTCTGATTCTAATAGGTTCAAAAGTCATCAACTTGCGTCTTACTTCACTTAAAACATACTGCTACTCGATAGTGACGATGACGGACAAAAATTAATAATTACTTAAAGTCTCAGCTATGCAATTAAATTGTCAGCTTGAATGCCAAGTGTTTTCATTAAGTATTGAGTAGCTTTGAAAATTTTATAAACCTTTTCAATCTCAAACCAGTATCATAACAATGAGGTTTAGTATTTTCTATCCTGTTAATGAAATATGATCGTGAAAAAGATTTATTTATCAATTTACGATATTTATTAAAATTTTGATCACGATGAAAAATAAATCGTCTTAGAACTAGACACTTTGCTCAAGCAGTTAAATCTTCGTACAAATACAAAATAAAAAGACTTGCAGATTTTTGAAATAGTATAGTAAATGAAAGAAAACTAACAGAACTATTGATATCATTTTTTTTTTGCATTTTGCATATGATCATTCTAGATCGACGTATCAGACATTTTACTTGAACTAATCGATGGTTCCGCAATGATCTATGATGCGCTTGATGGAAAATTAACCAAAAGGAGTATCGAGGCACTTGTTCAGGATCGATATTCACTGCGATGCTGTCCACAGTTTCTTGGTCCCATGGTCGAGACAATGTATGACATTGCACGAGTACTTGAAATCGAAATGAATTCAGCCAATGACAATCCTTTGATTGATATCAACGCTGGCAAAGTTTACTGTAAGTTCCACTTATTTTAATAATACTAGCTAAGTGTTTTGGAAGTGTACTAGTTTACATCGACTTCGTTCGAAATGTTTCGAACTTTCAGAAGTAGTAGAACCTAATCTCTTGACACTAAAATTTACCTTCAAAATTTTTTACAATGATGTCTTGGTAGTTTTCCACTGCCGATTGTATGAGTCTTTCTAGCAGAAGTCCGATGTCTAGGATTTTCTTATTTTACATGATAAAAGACTCTGACGTTTAGAACAGATATTAATCAGTAGTGATAAACGTTTTTTTAGGCAAAAAATTTTTTTTCCAACATTTCGTTTGGATTGAAAAGTTCACCAGAAAAGTTTTTCTTCGAGACTTTGCAAGCCTGGTTTCTTCGGTGAGGGAACACAATTTGATCATCAATATTATATTTGTTAAAGTTATCTTTGAACATTCTATCGAACATTTGAATTTTCAAAAATGTAAAGCTAAAACCGATCGCTGAGTATGAAGATTTTAGGAGTCAATTTTGATTTTTACCTCAACTTGTGAACCTCCTACTGAAAAGAAGTAAGAAATCCGGTGAGGATAACAGCAAATATTCATAATCTATTCTCATAAACCTATCAGAAAAGTGATATTTCGGCATTGATCCAGCACTTTTACCATCGACGATTCTTTTTTTGAGAAGGAAATATACTAGGTTTTGTCCAAAACCTTTAAGCTCATTGACGATGGAAGTGAATAATTTTTATTACAGCCTAGGTCAAGAAGCTTCTAAATAAAAGGTTTTGCTCCCACTAGAGTCCTTATTTTTTCTTAATAAGGAGTTTAAAAGTTTAGATAAAATCACAATTAGCTTCTTAAATCTTCGTACTCCCCGACCAGTTTTAGCTCTACACATTTGAAAATTCAAATGTTCGATAGAACGTTCAAAGATAACTCTAACTCATATAGTATTGATAATCAAATCATGTTCCTCGTCGAAGAAAGCAGGCTCTCAAAACCTGGGAGAAGCCCAGTTTTGTGGAGAACTTTTCAATTCAAATGAAATGTTGAAGAAAAAAAGTTTTCGCCTAAAGAAACATTTATCTTATTGATTAGTATCTGTGATGAAAATCATAGTCTTCTATCATTTAAAATAAGAAAATCCTTGAAAACGAATTGTGACTAGGAAAAGTGTTACAAGTGGGGATAGGAATTTACCAAGACATCATTTTCAAAAGTTTTGAAGGGAAGTTTTGGTGTTAAGACACTTAATTCTACTACTGCTGAAAGTTTGAAACGCTTTGAGTAAAGTCAATGTAATCGTGATATGTTTTCTAAAGAATGACTCTACTACTTTTGAAGTTGCAATCTCACTCAATAGTTAACAAACGAAACCAAGCTTAACTTATGTATTTATCGATGAAATTATGTCATAGAATTCTAGTTAAAACGTGCTATGTGCAGCAGGAAAGTTTCTCATAAACAAACACACATGACAAAACAAGTTACTTTTATAGTGGCTAAATCGTAGTCTATTCACTATTTGAGAAGGTTTCTTTCTGATACAATGTTTACAAAATCAGTGTTGTTTTCTACTGCTTGCCCAAAAGACTAATATATTTTTGAAAAGTTTTGTTCGACTTTATTAGTTATATGTTCTCTATTTCATATACAGCCACCAAGCAATAAGAAAAATAAAAGTAATAGCAACTTCTACTCGTTTCGCTCTTTCTGTTTGTCTTACTTCTCCAGTTTTCAGTCTTTTTTATATTATATAGTATATTTTGTTTGATGTATCTGGACACGTTAGTTTTGAATATCACCTTGGAATATTTGACGTTTTAATTCACCCTACAATAGGCTAATCATTTATAAATTTATTCTAATATTTACATATAATAAAAATAAACTTTCGTTGATATCCGCTGGCTTCGCACTGTGTCATTATTGCTACTTCGACTTTCAAAGCAGTATCCGTTAAGTTGTTTCTAACGAATTAAATTTAAAACTTTCCTCTAGCATTAGGAAAGAATGTGTTTGTTTGATAATATGCAGTGAAAATATTCAAAATTATATTGCATAGGGACTTTCGAAATGCCTTGTAGGCCAGAAAAAATTTTTTACGAAAAAACAATTGTATGTAAATATTCATTTACAATTATTTCTACAGTTTCAGATTTTTTTTATTCATATCCTAAGTAGAAGTTGCATTTGTTTTTATCAAAATTTCGATCTTGACTCATATTCATTTTATCTCAAAAGAAATGTATTTGTTCTAGTCCAGTCATACAATGGTCTACTATATTTCAATCTGCATTTAAAGAACAACACCAACGCTCCATTTCAAATAGAAATGGAGGAGGGGGACTAAGGAGTCTTGAAAATTATTTGCCACAGTAAATAATTCTAGAAACTCCTACTAGTCTCATCATTCAAAAAAGCGGATATTTAGCTATATATAATAATAGATAACTCTAAAGACCTAGGAGACTCGCCGTCGATAAAGTAGAGGATATGATGACTCTGCAGATATATGTATAGTAATGACTTATTCGAAACATATCGTTAAATAAATAAGGGTGTCATTGGATTTGGATGAGTCGGATGTGTGTATCTTTTATGTACAGTAAGACTCTCTTCTCCCCGTCTTCTGTCGATAAATGAGCTTCTTTTGCTAGATCCTCTAAATTTCCGTTGTTTGGAAAAGTGGGCGTGTTTTTTTTCTGAACTTTATTTTGAAATAAAATCTCCACAGACTCAGTCCAGCAACTTTTTGATTAACAGTACATATCATTTTTGTTAACAATCAAGTTAATTTAAACACTTACTCAGTTCATCATATTGGCAGATTTTAAGCAAGGCTTTATTGACATTCCTAGGTGGTGGTAATTTTCTTGGCGAGCACGTGGCCTTAGCTATGGATCGACTACGACACGCTATCGGTCTGATGGCCAAACATCTAGATGTGCAGGTTGCCCAGTTGGTCACACTCGAGTTTAGCAATGGTCTGCCTGCTTGTTTAGTTGGTAATCATGATCGTCAAATATCGGTGTCAAAGCTCTTCAAATTTGTGGTAATTCAATCATGCCAGTTTTACTTTTTCTTGGCACATCTATAACCGATAAATTTCCGACACACGCCGAGCAGTACAATCAAAATATCAATTCAATGGGGCAAATGTCTGCATGTCTCGCTCGTCAGTCAGTTTCTATATTGTGTCAACATTTGAGTATTTGTCTTCTTATTTGTGTTCAAGCACTTGATTTACGAGCTAATCTTATTGAGACAGAAACCAACTATGATGCTCGTCCACTACTCTCGAAAAACACTCGTCGTGTTTATGAAGCTGTTCGATCGGTTATAAATGTACCTATTGACAAAAAGCGTCCTTACATCTGGGACGATGGAGAGCATGCATTGGATGACCATATAGCTCGAGTGGCCGAAAATCTCATCGGAAACGAAAATGGACCGCTCTTTAAGTCATTGGAACCAACCATTGAGAAGCTTCGCTCAAAATGCTATTTGCATCGTTCATCGATCAGGTCCAAACTTTAGAATATGTGCAAGCGGTTTTCAGACCACCATTGACCTTTTTCTTTGACAAGTCAAACATAAACTTCTGTTCTACTATAAATGCATATTTTTTGTTCATCGTATTCCAATAAACAATTAGAAGATACCATGCAAATCGTCAAAATGCATCTCTTTTTTCAATAACTTGACAAAGAGGAAATCATGAAGAGAAAAATCTCAATACATGTTCTCTATACGCAAATATACTAATATTTATGATTTAATACAGTTTCTTAGTTAGATTTTGGATACGATACTATGTTTTTTTAACTGAAAACACCGTAGAAGTGAGAGAAAGTTTCTTTTTTTCCTAGAAAACAATATATTTTTGTGAAACAAGATCTAAAAAGGATTGTTGGACCATAGAACGTTAAATCTAAACGATATCTTTTCTTCATCACCTGTGATAAACATATTAATAGCGCTGTTCCTGTTCCATTCAGATCCTGACAAACATAGTCATGAAACTGAGACTTATTGCAAAACTATTATAAAATTCGATTGACTCTCATAACCATAACGCTGAGCTGGACTTTGTCTTCAATTCTCTCAACACTCTTAAGATGTTGTTCACAACCTGATATATAAGAACACAAATTAAGGTAGCTTTCGTTTTTATTCTGTCTATAGCCACTATAACATGTAACAATGAACACGTTCTTTCATCACGAAAACGCATGAATACACTAAAAGATAAAAAGAATTTTTACGGAAACTGTGAGATTCTGTGATAATTTACTATACTTTTTGAACTATCATAAAATTCTATGGAATTTCACCTAGGGGAATAGGTGTGGAATGTCGGTGCGGGTCTCCTTTTCACTCACACCCCTATATAGCCACAGCCACACCCTCTGGTGGTCATTTTAAGGAAAAATTGAAAACGCCTATATTGATACTAAAAGTGTGTATTATAGCAATGTGGGTATGTGAGTGGGTGTGGGTGTGGGTAAGGCTATGGGCATGGCTGTGAGTGTCAGTGGGCGTGGGTTCAGGTTGATGTGAGTTTGTGGCTATGGGGTCTGGGTGCGAACGTGCGTGTATGGGCATGCGTGCGGAGTGTGGGTGTCTTTGCGGGTGTGCGCGCATGGATGTGGGAGTGGCTGGGGGTATGACTGTGGATATGGGGTGTAGGTGTGTGTGGGGGTGTGTGTGATGGATCTGGGGTGGGTGAGTATGGCTATGGCTATGGTTGTGACTATGGCTGTGGCTGTGGCTGCGGAACTGATGCTAATACCCACACCCACCCCTAATAAAATGGTGCTCAAAGTTTATAATGATAAGAAAAATTTCGACAAACCCTGATTTAAGGTGTCATCCTTGACTTCAGTAAAAAAAACTGTAAATTTCTCTCAGAGAATCAGAGACATACATGTGACTTTCTTGAAAAACTCTGCTATTAATGGCTGAAACTTTCAGGGTACACTGAATAAGCTCGGTTAGTATCGACGTTTTTTCAGAATTAGTGTAATATTACACTTTGCTAATGAAGTCAACGATGACACTCTTAAATCAACTTTTGTCAATATTTGTCCTATCAATAGAAGTATGACTATTTTTTTTGATCAAGGCGAAAAGATCAGTTCAATTGAGCAGAATTTAGTGCAAATATTCTTTGTTTTCTCAGCATTGTAAACTCAGATCATTCTATATTAATAAGTATATCATGTTTTTCTCTGATGTATTTTTTCCTCCCAGAATCCGATGTCATTTATGATTAGTATACTATGTGGCGCATTGGGATCTGTTCTTTCTCGTTATATACCTATTATCTAAAACAGACAAACTATAATAGTCCTAATGAAGAAAAAGGGTGAAACCTATGAGCACGCAATGTAGTACTGGATTTGTGAATTTTCTGATTTATTCTTCCGGTAAGCTATCAAGATGATGTTTCCCATTAATGTATACAGTTTGTATAGATCCTTTCTTGAACATATTAATAATATTCTCCACTGCAGTAGATAAACGTTTTTTCGTATTTTCATCAACCCGAGAGTTTTGGCTTGAAGATTAACTTCGAAAGTCAGGTTGTGCTTCGGTGCGGTGGAAATTTTTTCTTTGAAACGGATCAATGGTTGACTTACAAAGGAACAGTTGATGGAGATGTGGAGCGAAACTACACCCGCCACCAACAATCCTGATACTACTGATGTAGGCAAGCATATCTTCGTATTCTTCAATTCAGATCAATTTTTCATCGCTACACTATTCTCTACATAGAAGTCCTTCCCAACTGAAATATTGATCCTATTTTCGTTAGTTCATTGCAAAACGCGAGAATTCTAGCATGGTTTAGCTAAACGATAGCTCATACTGTTCAATCCAATAGTGACTAAAATTATTTTAATCTCGAATAGGCACGAACACGCTATGTTCCGCAATCATTATACCGGATCGCAAAATCTTTGTGAAAAGATGAAAATACCTGCTTGTCTTATAGACAGACATCATTCAGCGTCCTCTATCGTGTAAAGTGTATTGGAGGTTGATTGGCCAATATAAAATAAATCGGGTAATAATAAATGGCCGAAAATGAAAATGAAACCGAAAACCGAAAGGACCGAAAAACATGCGATTGGTTATCATCCGTGTGAATCATCTCTAAATATGATTCAAATGGATGATAGCCAATCACATGTTTTTCGGTCCTTTCGGTTTTCGGCTTCATTTTCGGCCATTTATTATTACCCAAGAAATCAAAAATAGGTTTTCTTGAACCACATCGTCTCATGATAAATTAAAAACAATAAATGATGAATTTGGAATTGTTGGCTAACGAGTTATTACTTGAAATATTCGAGTATTTTCATGCTATAGAACTGCTTCGAACTTTTCATTGTCTCAATAAACGTTTTGACAGTCTGATCTTTACTCATTTTCGAACATATCGTCTCGATTTTCGAACAGCATCAAAACAAGATTGTGATATTATCTGTCAAGTAAATCTTCCATTAATTATCGATGAAGTTATTTCACTTGGTCTCTCCAATGATGATGAAATTCCTCAACAAATTGATTTATTTCGTTCCTATGGTTGGACACTCAATCATTTCCAAAATCTTTCTTCACTTTCATTAGATCATATTCGTTCAGGCGAGATAATTTGTGAAATTTTATCCGAATGTCCTCAACTTAAACATTTGAATTTGACTTCATGTTATTTTGGATGTCAACAAGATGATATTCTTCGTTTTGTCAATTGTGTTTGGAGTTTACCTAAACTGATATATTGTTATTTGAACATGAATTTTAAATACGGATTCCAAATGCCAATATCGACCAATGTTTCATCGTCATTGGAACATTTATCAGTCTTAGGTGTTTCTTACCGCGTTGACCAATTAACTCATCTTTGTGAGCGTACACCTCGTCTTCGATATTTTTCATTAGAGTTATCGAGTACTTATTCTGCTGAAGTACTACAAACATCACTTTCATCATTAACTGAATTAAATCTTGTTTTTGTTGGTTCACAACATGGTATTATAGAAACTGTGTTGCAATACGTGCCAAACGTATGTCGGTTGAAGATCGAAACAATGTATTTTGATATGAATGGACATGAATGGGAACAGATTATTCGTAATTATTTACCGAAATTAAAAGTATTTCAATTGAAAATGAGATTCGAAGTTAGGAGTGAGAAATATAAAACCAAATATTTGAACTCATTTCGAACTCGATTTTGGCTTGAAGAACACCAATGGTTTGTTCGATATCATTATAATCCAGATGATAGTTCCAATATGATTTGTCTCTACACTTTACCGTATAGTTTTTCTTATCTTGATATTTTCTTTCCTGTTCATTTCGAATCGACTTGTCTTAAGGATGATGATTATTCTTCATATAATCATGTTCAACATTTAGTTTATCGTTCTTCTTTAACTAACAACATGATTGAATCTGATCTTAATTTTCCGAATTCAACTTATCTTTCAGTAACACTTCCTGTTAACAATCATTTATTATCAGTAATTCCAAACCTTTATCGATTAACTTCATTGGAAGTATCACGATCGAAAAATATGTCGGATGTTGATGCTCAGTTACAATTGCAAAATATACTTGATCATGCACCTCATCTCTATTCGTTGAAATTTAACTCATGGCGAGAAGGGCAGTTTCTTAATCGAAATTCTTCACTGATTGAAAAGTTGACACCAATAGTCTTGAAAACTCGATCAATTCGACAAGTTAATCTACGAGGTTATGATTGGTGGTTCAATGATGAAGAATGTGTTCATATACGTGATTCATCATTGATAAAATACTGTGAAATACTTTCTATCAAAGTTCAAAATCGAATGAATTTACTTTATCTCATCAATTCATTGCCTAACCTTCGAGCATTGATTGTTCAATCTCGAGATGATAATTGGAGTTGGAGCAACTATTCTTCGTCAGTCGATGATCAGTATGTTCAATGGTTACAACAGAACTTATCATCAATGTGTTCAATTAAACGAGACTCTCGTTTCGTTCATTATATTCGAATATGGATTCATGTATAAACATGAAATTTTCAAAGAAGACAGCTAAAGATTTTTCGAAATAAAAGAAAAAAAAAATTTATTCTTAATTATTAGAGTGAAACATTTTGTCCAACATCAATCAATCTTGGATCCGAAGTTGGAGAAGTCAAGTCATGGGCTACGAAAAAAATTGTCAATTAAAGTTATCTCAAAAATAACTTGACTTGCCCATCTCTGTTTGAATCCAATATTTTTCTATTCAATAAACCGAACATTATCCACGTTTTCTAAAGAATAAAGAAAATCTATTCGTCAGAATGAATATAACATATTCGACTCCTTTGAGTGTACATCAACATAATGCAAAGCAAAATTTTCATGATCAATAATCTCTGTGCATATGCTAAAACTTAATCAGAAATTCCTTGTTTTATGATTCTCATAAATCTTGATCGAATATCTACATTTGCAAGATTCAATTGAATGCATTGATTACATCTTCGATTATCAAACAAACTGATAAATAAAATATTTGAAAGCTTTTGTATTCTAAAAAGCAGAATTAAGCTTACTGTCGTAGCTTAAAATGTTTGTTTTTTGAATTGCAGTAATGGCTGAAGACTTCTCGAAACAAATTGAGAACAAGGTTGGTTGAGTCTATCAACTCAAACCTTTGGATCAGATTATCCGAAACGTAAAGGAAAGTGAAAAGTCAACGAAGAATTGCCACTGTTTCGTGCACGAATTCCATCAGTGCGGTGGCTGAATTAGATTAATTTGCGTATCGGAAAATTTTCTAAGTATGTTACATAGAAAAAATTTAATACAGTTATTGCTATTCAGCATTGAAAATGGTCTTGTTTAGTTCTTCGAATTTGTACGGCTCATGTTTGGTTAATAATTCCTAAGTAGACACGAAGATAGCCCATGACGAACGAGATTTTTGAAGATGGAAAACTGAATCGTGCGGACTAAAACATTCGAACCAGAAGAAAAACATCACTATTTTACTGTATATTTTATGTATGTGTCTCGACAGGGTTTACGTGTATATCAGAGATATTCGTTTGAATTCGTTTCTTCCGTGGTCCACTCATCAAGATTCTTGGAGTACCATGATCTCATAGCAAGTACAAGATCTTACTAATTTTTAATGGTCACCGAAACAGCATCTTGTAATCAATAAAACCTTCTTATCAACAACGAACATCTATTTAATGGAAATAGTTGGTGTTAAGAGTGCTACATTTTTTGAAAATACAGAACGTAAAATAAGTGTTAAGTTAAGATTTTTGTTTAAAACTTGAAAATAAATTTAACTTTTCGCTTAAGAGTTTTTTCAGCTAAAATAACTGATAAGTTTTTCGATTAACGGATGATTTGTCTTCTAATTTATTAATAGTTTTTTGCGCCTTTCACAAATCCATTACATTTCGCAAAAAAAAGGTGATGAGGAAACGATCACAGATCCAATTATTTGAAAAGTCGTTCTACAATAAGTTAACTGTTTTAAAGATAAACGAGCTTCTGGACTTTCTAGTTCCTAAAGAGTGATATAAAGCAATTTATCTGTTCTTTGATTAAATGACACTACAGCATTACTAAAAAGGGCAAAAAAAAATAAGAGTAAGCAAATAATAATTATTTCAAAAGTAGTGGACTGTTCTTATGCTGAATGGAGAAGGCATCAATGAACTTTTCATAATCAACGATAATATTACCTTAAATAGCTAACGCAGTAGACACGCGACAGCTATCAGTTCGATGAAGTGATTCTTTTTTCGAGAACTGGGTCTAGTGACTCGTTCTTCTTTAAAGAACCGCTTTGGCTGTGTGTGTAAGTGTAGGTACGGATGCAGATATAGGTATGTGTCCTTTCTAGTAATATATACACACATATCTCACCACGCCTACACCCCACCACCGCACTCATTCACACTCCCCGTCTCATCCAACATCCACAATCTGCGACCGGTATTATACTATGTTGGAGGAAATATGACATTTAGTTTATTGATTGAGATTGAATTGAAAATTTTCCTTCATCTTCTCGGCTAACTGTTATTTTATTAGTCAGTTCGATTTATATAAGAAGAAACATGATAATCACAATAACAACAGAATACATTTACTTTTTGTTAATACAGAATATACGTCATTCATTTGATTCTGAATCGTTATACTGGAAAGAAAAGATAGATTTACTGCAGATCAACTTTAAGTGAATACAAGATGGCTCAATCTACACATCTGATATCTTGGCCTTTTTCAGTTCCTAGGGATCATATAAATAAGTATATAGTCGATGATAAGTATTTTAGTGAATTCGTTTCTTTTTTCATTTTTTCACCTTATTAAAGGATAGGAACCTGATTAAAATGATGGTGTGGATAGTATCAGGTGTTACCTACATTGTGCACTATAATACGAGAGGATTCTTTCTTTCGATAGAGGCTTTTCATAACTAAAACTATTTTTCGACACAAATAAATTAAGTGCTCTTCAGTAAGATCCTTGAATTGTGATCATGTGACAATGTATTCATTTTGATATATCTCAAGATAAATTGTAGGAAATTCTGTTTTTCCTGAAAAGTGATGTTTTGCAGCTTTTTAACTTATAAATATTTGCTTTGCGGTGTGATTTTCTTATTCTTACTAAAATCCAATTTCGAAAGTCGAAATGAGCTATGAGAAAAAGCCGATTTTTAACAAAATGGTCGAGTGTAAAATTCTTCATCAATTTATCTATATTTTTCCGTTAAAGTGCAACTATCTAGATCGAATATTTGGAACAATTAGAAAGCATTGAAATCTAAGTTTTCGTCAAAGAAAATCATTTTAATTGTGGAAAGTCTCTATAAAAAGACACAGTCATCTAGCATCGTAGTGTACGATGTAGCTGATGTCTTATAATACCTAGACCAGCATTCTAACTAGGTCCGTACTCCTTAATAGTGTAAAAGAAAGAAAAAACAAATTCGCTTAAATTTTTTAAAACAGATTATTTTCGTTTTAAATCAGTTATTGTGCGCATCAAGAAACTAAACTCGATGTTTAATATATATTTTAGGTAAATCATTTGTGTTTGAAATGGTATCGATCAAAAATATTTTCATCAACGAAAACAGACAAGATGCTGTCACTTATTTTTCAGTGTTTATTATCACCATAAGCATTGTTGATATAACATTAGTCATCTACACTATTGTTTACAACAGTGGCGTAGCCAGGAATTTTTGAGTCATGGGCAATTCATTAGCCGAACTATTTTGAGTTACGGGTAGCTAAGGGCAACCGTTATGATTTCAAAAATATGTATGGGCAATTGCCCAATGGCCCTACCCCTGGCTACGCCACTGGTTTACAATAAAGACCTAGCTTAGATATCAGAAAATGGAATGGCAGGATCTTCGAGTCTGAGACTTGTTCGCAATGGAGCCAAGTTTGTTTCTTGTATGAAACCAACGCAAGAAGATCTTCTACACATCATAGTCGCTTGTCTGTCGAATTTATCGAATACTAATAAAAATTGCATCTATGAAGACATTCTTCGGTGCTGGTACAATGGTTTATCGATTCTTTTTGCCAATGTACTTTCACGGTGGCATAATTCATCTAGTTATGAAGATGGTGACTCAATTGAGTTTTGAAATACTGCTTGAACTAAAATTTGGTTCAGTTCGTGTCGCTACCATATATACATCCTATCGAATATTGATGGTGCTTATTCAGTGCCGGTGGTCTTCCACGAGCTGGTAAGTATACGACCAACAAGCGAACGAGATATAGAAGAAAAACAGATTATACAAAGTAGGCCATAGCCATATGGTGTTAGTCTATTCACGGAATATCTGATCTCTGATCTCTTTGAACCATATTCACATCCAGAGAAATTCTTCTATGAAACATCATCAATCAACAAGTACTCTCGGTTGATGAAATTTCTCTTAGCGAGTAAGTCTTTTGCTACTGAAAATAGATTAACGGAAAATGAACTGTATCGAATTACTTGCAAGAAAAATATCGGGTTACAATCCACCTTTTTCTGTTTTTTAGCCGGGATAGGAGCGTCGGAAGCACTTTTGGAGGTCTTAGCCGTTCATCTTATAGACGTGATTCAAAGTTGGAAAGATGTATCAAAACCTTGGCTCAAAATAATCATTCAAGGAACTGTTCTTATTGTCTTCTTAGTATTAAGTATTTTTGTTCCAATGATGGGTTATATGCCCATATATTTTAATGGGACATGCATCAGTCTTTTTATTGACATTTTTCCTTGGTGGATTCATCGGATTTTTTCATACAACTGCTCCGACTTTTTTAAATCACTAATTGAATCGAGAGGATTTCGAAATAATAATATCTCGTTTGTGTTTTTCTGTTTCAATTATGGCTTAAAAAATGTGTCGTTTTTTATGTGAGCATATGCTTTGTCATATTTTATGATATCTTATTATTTATTTCCGTACATGCTTGATGGTCCTGAATAAAACCTATCGACTATTTGTTTTCTCCTCATGAAACATTTTGAGCTCAGATATCTATTTTGATGTTGGGGTCACATTTTAACCGAAAGAAAAACTCCAACAATTCTACAAGCTCTATGATATGAGGGTGTAGCTGTGTGGATGGGAGTAGGTGAATATTTGTGAGAGAGTTTAGTTCTGTACCAACCTCTCACAACTTCTTAGGTTGCCATCCTTGTGTAAAATTTCTATACAGTTGCACTAAGAATGGGTTTACAAAAAATGGTGCAATACACTACGTCTAAGAAGAAGTGTGCAATACTCATTTGACTCATACTTTCAATTTTTGTAGAGCATAGGTTTTGGCAAAGAGAAGACAGTCATATTCCAACAGATGCACGTCCACACATACGGCTATTCCTACTGCAATGCCCACAGTTTTCGTAATTTCTGTTTTATACATAACATATTATTCGAATTAGCTATGTTATTAACAAATCGATTGATAGTCATGTGAGTTGGCAAACATTGGGCTTGGTAGTCATTTGAATTGATTACTGTGTAGCTTAAGCCCCCCCCCCCTTCAGAAAATCCAATTTTTCGGAGATGAGTCGAAATTGAAGTTTTATCATAGGAAGATGCACTGAAGTCTCTTCTTTCAGAATATCTATGTTTTATCGAAAAATGAATTGATTTTGACGAACTTGTCGTCTAAAACTTTGCTCCTACTATCATGTTTTTCGAGAAATTTCCATGGTGTTTTTTCAAGGTTTCTCGACCTTTTAGGCTGCTTTCTCTTTGCATCATCATTTCGTAAAGTTTTTTTAAAATACTAATCACTAAGAGACTATCAACTCTTAATATTAAGATCACACATTTATAGCCCGTCTTGAACATTGATATATAAATCAGGTGATTTTCGGAAAAATCGACTTCTAATACTTATTTTTCGTTTTTCTCAAAATCAATTTTTTCGAGTTTACCGTTTACGCGGGGAAGGATTTCTTAATACTGACTCAATAGAGAAGGGATAATTTTTTTTTTGTTGAACAGAGGACAGTTAGGGCTAGATCCTCACAGGCTCCGATTTTTGAATTTCTCATTTGCAGAAATAAAAAACTCAGATATTTCATATTTATTAGCACTTTGAATTTGAACATTTTTCGAAAAAGTATTTTTAAAAATCAAACAAAGGGAAATTCAAAATTCGGGCTCTCTGAGGATCTGGCCCTAAGGGTACTCCGCAAGTTAAAAACCGCCCGAGCTTGTTAGCTTGTATCCTTATTGTGAAATCCTTCCCCGCGTAAAGGGTAATGAATTGCCTAGAACTTGTGCATTTCTTTGAGATTTGGGGGAGATATTTTAACCATAAGCTATTCTAGTCAAGACTAACATTCTCTGAAATTTTGGTTGAAATCGGATGAAAAATAACAAAGTTCGTTTCTGAGGGGGGCCCTTAATTGGAAGTAGATGTGGGTGTAAATATGGGTATTGAGCGTGGAGTATGGATCATGAACGTAAGTATTTTCCTCTTCACACTGACACTGACATTTACAACCAGTTCTGTAATCAGCCGAGGCTATATTCGATCCGGATTCTTTTCTGACATAAAGGGTGTGGCTAGCTGTGTTTCCTTCACTTTCATCTTCACAAATTCACACCCACACCGGCAATAAAAGAACTAAACCCCCCCTCATAATAAAAGACCCCCCGTTTTAGAAGACCCCTCCGGAGGAGTCACTTCATAGAAATTTCTTTTTTTCACCAGCAAAAATTTACAAAATTTACAAAAGTTCGCTGGACCATAATAGAAGACCCGGGGTCTTTTATTGTAGGGGGGGTTTAAGACATTCTAAAAGATTGATGAGAAGTGTAGGCATAAAAGTAAAACGAGATAAAATAAATTTTCGGTAAACCTATGAATTGGTAGTAGGACAACGATGTAGACGAAAACCATGGCGAAAATAGAAATCGAAATAATAACAGAGACGGCGACAAGGAAGGAAATATGAACGAAGATAGTGACAGAGACAGATACTGGCATTGACAAGAGCACTTTACAATTGATAGAAGCCGTTTAATCTCATATTTTGCCCGTAGGTAAGGCTCATAATCTGAATAAAACTCTTGAAGGGCTTGTACCCTTGGACCTTTCTTCTTTAGTTATGGTCATTATACTGAATTTTCGGCCTGTCACAGAGTTTTGTGGAAAAAAGTTCAAGAATGAATTTTCCACCTGATAATTTGTCCGATAATAGATCTAATGGTTCTTGTGGTATTCAGGAAGTTTCAGCTCAAACAGATGAGGCTTTCTTAAGATATGAGATATCTCCAAAATGTACTATTTTCGGAGCGTGTGTTCGAAAGGGTATGCTTGAGTAATGTCGAAAAGTTCGAAGACGACAAGGGTAGGATCTTAATAGTGTTAATATTGTTGGAGAAAAGAAAATGGGCGGAACGATGTTTTTAATCATTTTACACAAACAGAAATTTCACAAAAAATATCTGACAATCAATCATTTTTTATTTATTTATTTTTGTTTCATTCTTAGCAACAAACAAACATCACCATTTGTCTTTTTTGTTTTTGGTCTGCCAGTTGCACCAGCCCGCATTTGTATTACTTCAGGACGAAAATATATTTCTTCTTGTGTCAAGCAATTGATAGCATGTCCTGTAATTGGATGATGTTAATTCACATGAATATTGAATTGATTGTGTCAACCTAGAGACCACGGAAGGAGAGAATATTTATGATAAATATAAAAAGAATTAGTCGAAGATCAGGATTTTTTCAGCAGTTTTGTTGAAAGAGCTATGTTAGTAAAGAAAGTAAATGTGTATAAATACCTTTACAATTATTATTTGTTCGAATTTGAAGATCAGATACATTCTAAAGATGAATGGTATGTCTGTCATCCAAAAATTTTCAAAATAATTTTAAAATAAATCTCGTAATGCAATACATGAATTATCTTTTAGTTTTATTATTACGATAAGCTATTCTTAAACCAAGTTTTTGTATATTACGATAGAGAGCCTGTGTAAAATGAAAGTAATAACCGGCATGTCGTAGTTGTGGACACTAAAGCCAAGAAATTGAAAAGATCATGCATTTCTACTGCTTTAGGTAGTTGAGTAAAAACTCTTACTTTATCAACAACAACTTTGATTAAAGCTTTTTCGAAATCACTTGTTATTATATCTGGATTAAATGCTGTTTTTAAACGAGTAGCATGATATTTCAATTCACGAAATAATTCTTTATAGCTACGGGTTTTACAATCACATAATAAAATAACGACACATGGATAACCTTAAAAGAGTGTAATAAAACAAAATGAGTAAGAAGCTCATTCATTTAGAGACTGATATCACTGGTATGAGGAGAAAACTTCGCTAAGAAAATTTCAGATACCTTTTCGCATGTTTAATAGCATAAATAGTATAAACTTAATGAAAATATGGCGGACATGTTTCAAATGTACCGTCCATCATAATATGTTTGGCAGAAAATAGAAATGTTAATTGTTAATCTGCACTAAATAATAATAAACATGAATTACGTGATGTTTTATCATATACTAAAATCTGTTTGTCACTAAGTGTAACTTGGTACTGCGCTGGTATATCAAGCACATCTGACGTTAATACTATCGATATCATTTTTCTACATGCACAATTTAAAGCTAAATCTGAAATTAATTTAGTAATTCAGAAAATTCTGTCAAAGACAAATATAAAAGTGTATACATATACTTGCTTCATATAATGATAGAATAATAGCAGCTGCTGTTTGTGGCATTTGTTGTCGATGAAGTTCTTCATCATAAATTTTAGCTATTGCTGTTGTTTCATTTATAACTCTAGGTTCTATATTTTGTTTAAATATACGAACTTCAATTTCTTCACGTCTTTGTAAATATGAATGATTACCAACTGTTCTTACAAATACATCCTTAATATTTGTATGAACGCCGGTATTTCAACTACGAGTTTCATATTTCCAATATTTAACAGTAGCTGTTCTTTTATTAATATAATAAATAAAATTATCACGAGCTAATAATGGTTTACTTTTATGACTTGTAATAAATGATATTGTATTGACCACAATAGTTTATAGATCTTTTTATAAGAGTATGAATGAGTGTTAAATATATAATATATTACAGTATTTATAAAACTAGATATTCTTGCTTATATACTCTTGTCATTTCTTTTATTAATTAGTCTAATAATTAGACTTTATCAGCTTAACTTCTAATCTGTATAACTGATCTTTTTGGTTCCGGCGGAAGCAGTGATTAATTTATCTCTATCTGTATTCTATATTTTAAACTGTTCTTTTATATTCTGTGAGAAATTTTTTTATTGTACATGCCATTATTATGATTAACAGTTACGTCTCATGCTATTTGATTATTTGTCAAATCAGCCAATTTTCATTCGACCATTTTTACAGCAATAACTCTACTAAGATTTTACCTTTGCCGTCTTCGAACTTTTTAACATTAGTTAGTACATTCTTAGAAAATAATGTTTTTAATAGATGTATTATCTCGGAAGAGGACTATTCATTTGAGCTGAAACTTTCAGAATATAGTAAGGACCATCAGATCTATTATTGGGGAAAATTTTCAGATGTAGATTCATTGTTAAAATTTTTTCATAATAACCTGTGATAGGTTCAAAATTCAGTAAAAAGACCATAAATCGAGAAGAAAGGCCCAGCAGCAGAAACCCTTTTAGAGTATTTATCCATATTATGAACTCCACCTAAGAGCAAAAAGTGATCTTAAACGGCGTTTATTAGTTGGAACGGTTTCCTTGTGAGATCCCAGTCACTGAGTGTGATTGGAGACGATCGTGGATGAGAACTGATATGGGTATCCAAGTTGGCAATTGTATCTGAATCGAGGGTTGCGATTTCCTGTTAATTTATTTTCAATTCAAATTTTTTAAATCCGACTAGATGAATATAAATTCATATAATTACAATTTAAAATAAACTAAAATATTCATACGTTAAAAGTTAAAATTTATTTTAAACTAAGTTTATCATTATTCATCTTTAGATTTATAAAATTTTCATAACTTGATCATCTCTAATCCAAATCTCGATCTATGACCAAGATTAATGGTATTGAGCAGCAAACTATCGCTTGAGAAGTCTTAATATTTTGTCAATCCTATGCAACGATAAAAAAAACAAGTGAAGCCGTGGTGTAGTGCACATTTTTTCAAGCTTCGATTTACTCTCTTATTTCGCCCTTCAGTATGTTCGATCGATGAGTGATAGAACGAGCAAAACACCGATAATACAGGTATGAAAAAAATAAGGTATCTCAATAATATATGATCATGAGTTATTTAACGTAAACGTAAAAATGCACGCAAGTCAATTTTCTTTTTCGCTGTCTATGTAATCAACATAATCTTTTAATTTTTTTTCATTCAACAACATCGATAAATTCTACAGCTATTCTAATCGTCCGTAAAAAAGATTTTACACAAGTACAATGAGTAAATTTTATTCTTTTGAAAGTGTACTCTCGTTAGAAGACTTTTTTCATCATCTGTATCCATCGGATTTTACTATCATCAAGTAATATCACTCATCTTCTATAGATTGTAGTCATTTTGAATCCTCTTCTTATGTAATGATTTAGTTAATTTAATATAATATAATTTATATTTTTACTTAAATCATGTGACGTTTCTTGAGAGTGTACAACTTCTTCAGATGGTAATTATATAATACAAACTACAATTTCCAAATAACCTTGTATTTAGAAAACACATGTATAAAATATTTTATTAAAGAACAGAAGAAAGAAAAAAACAACAAGAGTAAAACACGGGCTAACTCACTCTTTTTTATTTAATATTGATACGGCCATCAATCAACAATCCAGAACGTTACTGTTACTGTCTTGTTTTAGTATCATTATTCAATAAAAAGAGTGAACTAGCCTGGCTTTTACTCTTGTTGTTCTTTTCTTTTCTTTCTTTTGTTCTTTAATAATATATTTTATACATGTGTTTTCTAAATACAAGGTTATTTGGATATTGTAGTTTGTATTATATAATTACCATCTGAAGAAGTTGTACACTCTCAAGAAACGTCACATGATTTAAGTAAAAATATAAATTATATTATATTAAATTAACTAAATCATTACATAAGAAGAGGATTCAAAATGACTACAAAACTATTAAACTTGCTCACAGAACTATAAGCTTGTATGGTGTTTTTTTTTTGTATCACAGTAATTGTTTCCCTGGTAATGACAACGTTCCAAAGTTTTGTATGAAATGAATGCCAGATATTTATCACTTTAAAGTCATTCTCCTCATAAAGTACAAGGTGGCACAAAAACCACTTTACCGAAAAAAATTGAATATCTCTATTATGACTTGAGGAAACGAGCTGAGTTTTTACGAATGATAGAGGCATGTTCAAGTTTTATATCCATCAAGACATGTCTAGAGAAGCTCTATGTTATGAATCACTATTGTCTTCGGCAAAAAAATTTGACTCCCTTACATATTGGAGAAACCACTATATATGATAAAGAAAGACCAGTTTATCTAGAAAAAATGTAAATGCTCACTTATATTTCTTTTCTTTATTATCAAATACATGTCATGACTCTTTATTGAGATGAAAAAAGAAAAGAATATCAACATGCCACAATCAATTTTTTTGTTTATATTTTTTAAAAAAATGAGCGATACTTTAGAGTACCTGATCAAAGTGTTTTCTTTCTATGTTGACATACAATTGACAACAATCAACTACAGAACGACAGACTACTTGACATGATCTGATGTTATCATTGAGCGATGTAAAGTTCGTATTCAATTAATCACAAGTCAAATGATTTATATCGAGAGAATTTGGAACGTAGAAACGATCTTTCATAATATCTTCATCGTAACAAATCATATGGAGTTAAATCTGAAGATTGCTGTTGCAATTCACCAATTTACAGACGACCAATTCAATATAACAATGTATTACCTAACTATGTAGCATGTTATTTACAAGTTCATATTAATTGATTATATTTTATCTGAATAAACAGACCTTTGTTTAATGTGTAGTATATTTTTCCTATCTGTGAAAAAGTAAAATTTGGTTGTTGAGATAAATAGTTATTCTTAAATAAGAGTCTCTGTAGGCAATATCTTTATGCATAGAAAGCTTAAATATGCTTCTATCATTTATAAAACATCAGCTCGTTTGCTAGAGCTCTAATCGAGTTTTTCAATTTTTTTTCGATGAAATTATTTTTGCTCTACCCTCTATATATGAAATTTTTTCTCCATTTTTTTAAATGTAAGAATAAGCTATGTTCGTTAGAATATAAATTTTTTCAGACTAGATATTCTTTAAGACTTTTCTGCTTTGTAGATTTTCTTGCCAGTTGTATAAGACAATGTGTCTATGGTGGTCGATATTTTTTAATACGTAAGTATATTCACTCACTCTATTCCATGTCGACAAGAGAAAAGCAGAGAAAAAAAATCAAATAAAGTTTCATCATCAAAGTTGCAAACAAATGGTTTGAAATACGAGAAAAAGCTTGAACACTTTCCAATGAGTTTTTCTAAAAAAATTGTTAACATCTCTTGAGTGAGGCGATTGTATCAATACAGGATAGTGATCTGATGTTCCTTATTTTATTACTTCAGCTTTCCAATCATCAGTACTATGGTTAATTCCAAAATCGACCACTACAGATGATCTTTTGGACGTTGGATGATTTGGATATATTATCTCACATCTTATATTTTTCAGCCAACGCTTCAGTTGGAAACAACGAAATTAAAATTGTACATTCAGTATTTAGAACTGGACTGCACACAACGCGACAGATCATCCTTCATTGGAGATAATGGATCAAAATACTCAAAATGCTTGTTCTCAAATTCTTAACGTAGCCTACAGAGCGTCTTTTAATGGCAAGGTCTTTCTATATAAAAAGTCAAAAGCAAACTGAAATAGATTTGTCAATGCACTGTGGGAACACTGTGCAACACATGAAGTTTTAAATTCAAGCACGAATCACCATATTTTTTTGACACTACCACGACTACAAATACACCAGACTCAAAACGCTGTCATGGGCAATGTTTACTTTCGTTCATTGATAAAGTTTGCAAGACTACTTCGAAGTATTTGGAATATTCGAATAGAATCTTTGTCCTCTCTGTGCGTGTATGATGTCATCATTGTTTGAAACAGCACGTGTATTTCTTTCTTTACAGTCGTTCATTTAGTTGAATCGATCTTTACTTGAATATATCCACATATATTCAAATTATTCATCGAAAGATATTATATTCAGACTTTACGGTATATTAGTGAATACTTGAATGGATTACTTCTTTGTTTCGTTTATCTTCTGCGTCGTTGTTCAGTAGCTGCTCAATCATTCCACATTCCTGTAATGTAACTAGTATTTGAAGAGAGGAATTGTAGTGTTGATTTATTTGGTATCTTTCCAACGAACTTTTTTTTATCCAAATAAATTATTTCAGCCAAGAAAAATATTCGAACAGAAGCTTACTTAATAGCTCTATTCATTTTTTCAAAACTTCTTCGTTAATGTGCTCAAATGATGCACTTAAATGCGAGTCGAGCGATATATTTCAATAGAACTCTCATTAGAACGATTAGTTTTGTCAAAAGATCTTTCTAGCATTGAGCAAGTGACATACCTCGTTTCGAAGTGAGCGATATTCTTGAATGAAACTTATTCATAACGTTTCATTTTGTCAAAAGTTCTTTCTCGTGTGATCTGGTGATATACTTCGTTTCGAAGTGAGTGATATTCTCGAAAAGAAGCCTGATTAGAACGATTCATTTTCTTAAAAGGTCTTTCTCATGTAACCAGGCATCACACTTCGTTTCGAAGTGAGGCGGATATTCTTCAATGGAATCCTTTTCACAACGATTTATTTTATCAATAGATTTTTATAGTGTGCCTGAGACACTTAGTTTTGAAAGTGAATGATATTATTGAATGGAAACCTGATTAGAAGGATTCATTTGTCAAAAGATTTTCAACAATACAATTGAATGACTTCCTTCACTTCGAAGTGAGCGACACATCTAAATGGAATCCTAATTAGAAAATTCATTTGTCAAGAGACCTGTGTTGATGTGATAGAATGAAGCACTTCAATTTGAAGTAAGTGATATACTTGAAGAGAACAGTTGTTAATGCTGATTATTTACCTCTTCATATCGCAACATCTTATGTAATCGCAGACTTCAATCTGAAATGAGTAAGATAGGTGAATAGACTCATAATAAAAATGATTCATATCCTATACACACTCTAGTAGGTAACATATAGTCAAGCTTTATTGTGAAATGAGTAAAACATCTGAATAATATTCTGTTTGGAGTTGTATACTTGGGGTATAATGCTTGAACATCAAAAACTATGAGATTTTTTGAATAAAGTGTAAAAATAGTTGAATAGGTTTATCTTTAGAATGAGTCACTATTCATGTGATCGTCAATTTTGCGATCTAGTATCACACTTCCTTGCAAATCGAATAATGTATTTGATCAGTGCACACCAAATGATGCAAATAGAGGTATTTCATTTCTATATGCTTCTCAGAAAGCCGCTAAAGTGTTGACTTTTAAGAGTAAGCCAATGAAAAAGTTGGGCTAGTATTTATTTGAGCAATAAAAATATTGGAATGAGCAATAATTAAGACACGATATAGCCATAATTTTTGAGCAATAAGAAAACTATCTTTGAGCAATTTTATAATATTAAATGTGCAATAATTAATTCATTAAATAGCAGTAGTAATTTCATATTTTAGGAACAAGAAAAAGGAAAAGTAAGATATTTTTATTTATAATTGATAGTAAAAAAAAGAAAAAAGAAAAATGAATATATTATTGTGTCAATAAAGCTTTTTTTTGCTTCAGCTGGTTTCCCTCCTTTTCTTTTTCTATCAATATCCACATGTTTTGCCTTTGGTATGAGTTTTCACTCTCACCCTGACCCTCACCCTGTTATCAAGAGACTAGTTGCATATCATTGTCACTTTCACTGTCAGAAATATACTGCGTTACGCGTTGTAATTGAGCCATTTATATAAATTATATATTTTATTTTATAAGATTGAAAAAAAAGGTTTTGTATAAATAAATTCTTAACATAAGAATGTTTCCATCCACTGTATTATTATTGTCCTGTTGATCATCTTGAAAATTTCCTTATGATTATCTTACACTATATATGGGATTTTTCTAACACTTTTGATATTTATGTAATATATATCAACCCTAGTCGAACATCTTGTAAGCAAGTTCTTGACCAAGATACAAGATACAGAAATGTGAACAGATCTTAAAAATTTAGGTACAAGATATTGTGAGTATCTTGTACAAGATCTGTAGTGAGATCTTGGGTACAGATCTATAAAATCTTGACTGAAAGACATGGTCAAAAAATGATCAATGAAATTCCCATATGGATGCCTCTAAAGACTTCTAAAATAGTCTTTCCAATGTAAAATTTGATGCTGAATCTGAATATGAAGTCAGATTTCCTTTAGAGACACAAGGGTCCAAGTTAGAGATTAACGTTTTATTTAAAACATGTTCAAAACTCATCACCCTCAGAAAGATCTTTCAATGAAGATCGTGTTTTCTTGAGTCATTCAGCTCGATCTAGTCCCGAGCAGCTGCAAATTAATCTTTAGTAGGTATTATTAAATCAAGATCCTGAACAAGAGACATTGAATTCTTGTATCTGATTGTGTTATATAAATCTGTACCCAAGATCTAATCACAGATCTTGGTGCAAGATAATATAATTATCTTATACCTAAATTTTGCCAAGATCCGTTCACTTTTCGAGGTACCAGCACTGTTCGATCTGATAGGTTCCAGAGAATGGATAAGATACATTTATTGAGAGTTTCTAAAACATAATCTTTCTGTATTATAGTGGCCGATTGTTTCGGCATAGATCGATCAAGACGCTCAATCAATGTTGTAATTAATTCGGCATGATAGTCAATAAACTGTTGTCCTTCAGTCGTCACGAATGATACAAATAGAGTGCTTTGCGTAGCGATGAAAAGAGATTGTTGAACATGAACGAATATCCTGATATGAGCTCGATTGAGTTGAGTAATGCAAGCGAAGAAGCTCTGTCAAGCAATATTGGCATCGCGTTTTATTGAAATAGATTAGATCGATTTTGATAGCGTGACGAGTAAACGGGTATATTCCTTTTAACAAGATTGTGCTTCATTAGGAGTGAATTGGAGAACATCAGACCGAATGAAAAGAAACTTTAGCCAGAGCTTGTTCTTTGACGCGATCGTGCTTCTACGGATGGCTTTCCATTGTTATAATCGAGCGAGAAGATTTTCAAATGTTGCAGTGACTGTTCCATGTAGGAAGGCTGCTACAACGTCGGTCGGTTGGTGATTATTGTCCATCAAACTTGAGCGATGGATGATGCAAATGTAACATCGCCCTGTCTTACTTCATGTTAATGACACGTATTGACATGATAACTGGATGTGTGCACATTGTTCATAGATAACTGTGGAAATAAAGCAAACAGAAATTGCTTTTTCTATCTTCTATTCGTTATTTTTTGGCATCAGGAGAAAAGAAGAAAATGAAAAAATCCTCTTCCGTATGAAATTTCAGAATTAGTTGCTTTTTTATTCATTATTAGTAAGTTTTGGATTTATGCTCAAGATCAAAATTTTACTATATTCGCATACCATGCTCCTATTGAAATGGTTCACTAATATGTATCGAAATTTCTCATAGAGTAAAGATATATAATGTGTTTAATATTCCTTAATTAACTAGAAGACATTTTGACAAATTCTAGAGTGCGATTCAAGGCGCGAAGTAGAATTATTTAAATATCTCGAATAATTTTTATATGAATTTGATTTGAAATGCCTTTTTATGTCTATCAATCTTTATTCTCTAAATGTATGTTTTTATTCTTTCACCTTGTTTGAACTCGGAGAAACAATTGAGTCCAACTAATAAATAAAAAAACAAAAGACCTTTTCAAGAAAGTACATCAATGAAAGTGTTTTGCAAAAAATGAAGACAATTCATGACCAAGCACTCTGTAGGCGCTTTGTCCAACGATAAAAATAAAAATTTAAAGGTTCATTGTATAGAGAAAATGATGCGATGTATGCTGATCGCAGTAACGAAAATTTCAGTGTTTAGTTTTGAAGCTTCAGTGTAAAGTCAAAAAACTTATGAAAAATGTTTATTAAATACCTGAGTCTATAATCGGAATGATCACAAAATCCTATTTTCAAACAAATTCTTCATTATTCTAGACTTTGCTCCAAGAAATAAGAAAAACGAAACAACAGACAAATAAGCCATCTAGGGTATCATGATGTTATATATACACTTTTAATAAATTCCATTTGTTTTTCTTTCCTTCTGAATAGACTATATAGGTCACGAAACTATTTATCATTATTCTTTTCTCGTTAAAACATGAATACAAGTTATGCTTTAAATTCAACACCAAAAACAATCAATCAAAGTAAGTATATTGAATCATTAATGGATTTTTCTACACCAATGAGTACAATATCAAATCGTTGGATAAGTAATACAACACTAATCAACGATAAAATCATTCATATTCAGAATAATACTAATAATGAAACAATCATTGAACAACTTTTAAACAAATTTAATGAATGTAAAATTAATTTTCATCATACAAAAAATTATTTAAATTTACTTGATAGCCATTTATGTGAAGTAAAAACAGTTCTAAATCAATTACAAAATTTATTAGAACAAAATTCTTCACTTAAAACAACTACAGATCAATTAGAAACTCGTTTATTACAAATATCCATTAAACGAGAACAAATTCATACATCAATAAATAATTTTTATCTATCACCAACCATAAATCAAACACTTAACAATAGTTTTCAACAGGTAGACAAAACTTTCTTTTATTTTTTTAAGTCAATTACTTTTTTTTATAGATTTTACCACGTTCATCGAACATAGGAATATCAACAGATCCAATGATGTATTGTACTGAACTAATTAATGCTGTAAAATCAAGTATAAATCAAAGAACAAATTTAATCGAACGTTTTTATCATGAACAAAATCGAATAAAACATCAAACTAATGATTATTATTCAAGATTTCAACAACGACAAGAATTCCTTATGCAATTAGTTGAGAAAATTATTGACCAACAAAAAATAAATGAAAAATATATTGAAACAATAAATATTGATCAACCACAATTTGATAATCACAGAGAACAATTAGCTGAATTGAATAAACTTAATGAAGAATATCAATTACTTCAAGATGAAAATCTATTATTAAAACATAAAGCAAAAGACAATATTCAAAAACTTTACAATTCTATTAATCAAGTTACAGAATAAATTTTCTTTTTATTATTTGCTTATTTTAATAAACAAAAACTTCTCTTATTTGAAAATCAATGTTAATTTTAAAATGATGCTTAGTATTTCTTTTACCTGTGAATTCAGTTGTGGACCGCTACCGCCACACAAAAATAAATACTTGATTACCTCTAGCTGTAAGGACTTATTAGTATAATTCATAAGAAACAATTATAACATTATCAGATTGTTTAACGAAAAAGATAAAATGTCTATCTTTCATATGCAGTTCACTCGACTTAAGTTTATTATTCAATTAAAACTATTAAAATTTCATCAATTATATGCTTTGACACAGTGTTTCTTTGCAATTTTTTCAGCTATGGTTTGGCGGTTCGAAAAATGGAATCGCCAAGTTCTAGTTTCGGTAATATATAGTATCACTTCGAAGCAATTTTTATGTCAATGAAGAAATTTACTAGTTATCTAATTCAAGCTAACATCTGTGATTACTGTTGCATGGATGAAAATATTTCTTTTTTTTCGTTGCAATTTTATTTTCAATGTTTTGTTTTGTTTTTGTTGCCGCTATAGAAATAAGAACATCACAAAGAGCATATCATAAGAAAGTATGAACAAAAGAAAAAGAAAAAGAAAAAGAAATAATCTTGACTAGATAACATAGATACCCAAAAAAAAAGAAATCGATCATTAAAATGGTTTTTTTTTATTACGAGGAGTTTTTGTTGGTGTTGTTTTTGCTCGACCTCGTCCCCGTCCACGAGTAGCACCACGTGTTTTGGTTGATAATTGAGTTCGTTTTTGCGTTGTTTTGATTGAGTTTCGATCAAAATCATCATCATCATCATCATCATCATCATTACTATTTTCATTATTGTTTCTTATTGATTCTGTTATCATAATTTCATCATCACTTGATTTATCTCCAGAAGCTTTAAGGCGTTCTTGTCGAGCCATGATTAATACATTTTTTCGTCTTTTTATAGCTTCATCGTCATCAGCATTTTGTAGTGTTTTGAAACGTTTAAGTTCATCTTCAAGAAAAGCCACATCATCATTATGTATATTATTAGAAAGAAATTTCTAGAAAATAAAAATAATGATTAAAAATAAAAATTTTTCCTTTCTATCAAATAAAATCTTTACTTGACTTTGTTCAATTTGTGCTTCAACCATTGTACTTAATGCATAAATTTCATCTTTATCAATAAATTCAGTTAATGCTGCTAACATTGATTTTTCGTCAAGTAAACGTAAACGATTATTCTAATATTAAAAAAACAAAATAATTATTTAGAAAAAAAAATTTTTTATTACTTCTGTCGTTGATTCAAAATAGGTTTGAATAGAATCTTCAACACGTTGTGCATGTTGAAATTGTTCATTAGAAACTTTAATAGCATCAGGATCAAGTTTGATTTCATTTGATTTTGATATATTATTTTCACGTTTTTTATATAAATTAATCATTGTTTTTGGATTAGCAACTTGATCAGAAAATTTTTGAACAAAACGAATATCGTTAAATGAATCAAATAAATCAAAACCAGTATAATCAACACGAAGACGAATTAAACTATATTACATAATTATTAAAAAATTTAAAAAAACCTATGTAAAACACAAAAAGGATGAATTGTTTTTACGGTTTTCTAGGTTGTTTTGGATGGCCACTATGTTCATTTTGAGCACGCATAAGTAATTCATTTATCTGTTGATACAAAGAAAAAAAGAATTTTATTATGCAAAGAATAGATTTTTTTTTCGTACTGTATCAGTTAAAAGTTTGTCAAGTTTTTGTTCAAGTTTAGTATTTGATAATGTTTTAAATGCTTTTTCATCAATATGATCAGTCAATTGAATGTCAACAAAATAAAATTGTCGAACTGTTTGTAATGGTCGCCGATGCATTTTAAATGTTTTCTTATAAACATGAAGAATACCAGCATGTTTTTGTAATTGTTCTCCTTCACTTAAGGATGTTGCAACTGTACTACCTTTTTCATGAATAGAAAAACAAAATATCAATGTGATATCAAACAATTTGTACTAATTAGAAAAGAAAGAAATTCAAAACCGATAGAATTCGGACGAACAAATATTAATCTCCATGAAAGATTATATATACTAAGTTCAAAATATATAAATACTGTAATACGAAATAGCAATAGCGAGAAGAATTAAACTAGACACGCTTGAATATCTTGATCAACGCTTCTCAGCAAACGCAATTGTATGATGATAATTTAACTCACAATTAGTTTATCTGATTCTAACATGCACATTTTCTGGTGTATAGTTCTTGAAGTTAACAGTAGCTTAAAAGAAAAATCTTGTTATTCATGGATTTTGAAACCTCGTAGGGTTTACGGCAATTGTGCTCTGCCACCAATAGTCGCAATACAAGAAATAAAAATTACATACTTATCCATTCTATAAAGTACTTTTTCATTTTTCACATGCTGCTCTCACCCCCATGCTGTGCTATATACGATCAGATTACATGTACATAGATTGAGATTTGTGTGACATGAAAACTACCAAGCTATTTGTTTTGTCTTTCTAAGACGATTTACCTTCTTTTCAATGTATTTCTCAATTTGGATACATTGTCAACTGATCCATTACTTTCTCATCGAAAACTAATGAATTGTAGGTAATCAACTATGAGAAATCCTCTTAAATTTTCATATACTGATTTCTGAAACTAATGAAATTTCTGTCAAAAATTCTTTTGGACTTGTCCAGATAATAGATCATATAGAATCACTTAGAAAATGATAGCGTTCTTTTGTTTTTTTCAATCATTTTTTGACAGAAAATACCGTCATTTGAATTCATACAATAGATACATATGAACATTTTCAATCTAAAAAATTTCGATATGATATTGTTTTATAAAAACTCATTTTTGAACAACAGAAAAGATTTTTATCTTATAGACAAGTCCATTTACTCTATCGGCTAAGTAGAACAAAAATAGTTTTGGCAAAATATTTATTAATCTAAAACACCAACTTAGTCAATAGGTCATAATCCAGTAGATGTTTGGTAAGAAAACAATTGATCAATTAAAAACATTTTTTCATAAGAAGCTTGCAGATGTCATGAAAAACAAACAATTCGAAATGTCCTACATATACACATATTGTTAAGAACAAGATATGATCAAAAGCATTTTGGCTATCTAGAACGTTTAGAAGCATATGAAAAACAATGTTTAGCTAGTTATACATGAAGTATCAATAGCCAATGTAGTTCAAAAGTCAGAATTCGAGCCATTTTCAGCCGAAAAAAGCTTCCTTATCAATTAAAAAGCCTGTTGAATGTTGAAAAACTTAAAATCAAGCTTTTTTTTTCTAACAAAAAAAAAATCTTCTAATAATCAGTTCTTTTTTCATTTTTCGATTCATTAAAGAATTTTTCTACCTCGATAGAATATCAAAATCATCAATTAAATAAAACTAACCAGGTTGAATAACAAAAAATTTTTGTACTGTATTAAATTCCGGTGTAATTCTACAATCATGTTCATGACCCCAAATAACAATATCAAGAAATTCATGTAAAAATTGTTCTGGAATATAATTTTTTGGTCCATGTGCAACACGATTTTGATGTATAACAAATATATTAAACCAATCATCAGGATTATTTGTTGGTCGAAGTAAATTAATTTGATTTTTAAGAAAGATTCTATGTAAACGTTCATCACGTATTGAACCTAGACCATAAATAGCTAAATTTGTTTCTCCTTTACGAAAAAGTAATGGATGTATATCAATATTTTCTAATGATGATAAATTTCCAAAATAATTAACTAAACCACATGAATTAAGTAAATCAAGTGGACAAAGTGGTGTTGAACCTGATGGATCGTCATGATTTCTTTAAAATAAAAAATTATATTATTCAATAATTTTTGTCAAAACAATAAAAAAGAAACAATCTTTTATACCCATGTATAGAAAATATTGGAGTACTAACATTTAAATTTGGATCTTTAAAATTTGCCCATGGAAATGGATTTGATTGAACAGTTGAAGAAAAATTTATTTTTTCATCACTTATTAATTTAAATTCAATTGTTTTATCTCCAAGACAATATTTTCGTAATAAATTAATACATTCAAGCATAACATGATTGGATGGTTTATTATCATGAAATAGATCACCACCAAGTAAAATAAAATCAACATTCTCATCCCGTGCTATTTGAAGACATTCTTCAAATGTTATTAAAGCATCATTACTACGTTCATCATCTCGTTCAGCATAACCAAGATGATTATCTGTTGTAATTAAAATTTTAAAAACATCTTCAGATGATGTTGGATTACATTCTTCATCAAAATTTTCATTTTCACTTGAAGAACTTGATGATATAATTCTTGATACTGGCATGTTGAGAACAAAAATAAGATTCAAAATAATCTTACAACTTGATTATGAATGTTCCGTTTCTTTTATACTATCCAATGTATAAAAAGATAAATTTCATTTTAAATTGTAATAAACAATCAGACCAGTCTTTCATAGAGGTCGTTGTTAAAAAGTATTATTACTCCAAAAATTGGATCGATGATTATAAGTTAGTAAAATAAGTATTGTGAAAGCAAAATCTGATACATATGTATTTTAATTTCACACAAAATTCTATTAATGATAATGATCATTTCTCATTCTCTGACATAATAAGTTCAATCGAATTGGAACTATTTTTCCAGTTGTTGAATACTGTTTGGATGTCTACCGTTTTTTATTTAAAAAGAAATTGTACTTTTAATCTTTTGGCAGATTTTCCAAAAAGCTTTAGTATAAGCAGTATGAGTTTTTCAATGTCCATCCGGTAGTTTGACCTTTCCATTCATAAAGAAGGAGATAAGAAGAGATTGAAAAAACAGTAGGTATTCCTAACAGTGTCTAGAATCTGCGAAAAACTCCAGCTCTAGTTGACTTATTCGGGCTGGAAAAAATAGATTAACTATTAGCCTTTGTCAGCTAGATATTTTCTCGAAGGAAATAATTACAGAATTTGAAATCTGTGAAAAATGTTGTTCTATTCATTGAGGTCTCTCTGTTGTGAAACTTTGAATATTTCTGATCAGTACTTTTCCAAAGACTCTGAAAAGAATGGCGTGTCTCCTTCATCTAATGTAAACGACATCATTCAATAGAGATGAATATCAGTTATCTGTGCAAATCTTTTCAAAGAATTCCATGACCACAATATATCTTTTCATCCGTCTCTCTTAGTAACATGTCTGATATAGTAGATTTTCACTTTGAGACATAGTATAAATCAGTATCTTCTTGTTACATAAAGTCTAACAAATCAAATTTTCTTTCTTATTTATTTTATCACGGATTGCAAAATTAGAACTTAAGTCAAAACACTATAGACCCACTGTAAATTTCTTTGATTGTAATGGTTTATCATGATAATTAGTTGTAAAATAATTTGATCTTATGTATTAATATCTGAAAAGTTTCTTCTATTCACTAATCGAAATTGTGAATGACTAACAGATAAGATTTTCCAAATATTTATTCTATAATTTTCATTATTAAGTTATAATGTGCATATGGGTTTGGTTAAAATGTTTACATAAAATCACATCAAATTTCATCGGAAAGAATATATTAATTATTGAATCTTTGATGAACTAAATTATTATAAACTACTGCTAGAAATTAAACGCCCTCTAATTAGTGGCGTAACCAGAAAATCGTCGGTGGGAGGGCAAAACCCCATTTTTCGCGGCGGTGCCCCATTGTTTTCAAAGACTCTCTGTACATTTATTTAGTACTTTTCCTCATCGGTGGGGGGGGGGGGGGGGATCTCGAGTGGGAGGGCGCCATCCCCTCTAGCCCCTCCCCTGGATACACCACTACTTCTGATACAAGACGATTTTTGAACATAAATAGAGTATACTAAGAAAACGTGCGAACCATAGTAATAAAAATTTTTTTCTTTTGCGCACGTGTCCATTATTATCTATTTTTGTTAATAGAAAAGAAAAGAACATGTAACAAACGAAAGAAAGAACAGAAAGCGAAAAAGCTGAAATGACAACGATCGACCAAGAGTATTCGCGAATATTCTACGATGTACTCATATTCAATTACCCGTCCTATATATATGGATGAGTACATGGGCCTAATCAGACATTTGAAAGTTCAACTGCGATTATTAAACTCTCTTAACACATCCTCTGCAAAGCGATGACATTCTTTCCAATTCGTCGTTATCTTCTTTTCGACGATCCGTTTGATCGATTCTTTGGTGATCAATTGGATTTCTTCGATCCATGGTATGATTTTGATACATTTCCATCAGCTCTTTCTATTCGACCAAATGCTTTTCGATGGATCAATGAACCATATCGATTAACACATTCATCAAGTAATAAATCACAAGATAGCAAAAGCCTAACACCAACATCACGATCACCAAATGCTGAAAAATATCGTGTTCAACTCAATGTAGCTGGTTTCAATCCAGAAACAATTAAAACAAAAGTTGACGGTAGAAAAGTAATTGTTGAAGCTAAACAAGAAGATCGTCAATCTGATGGCGATTATAATATTCGAGAACTACGAAAAACATATGAATTACCTGAACATGCTGGTAAGTAGAAAAATTATTTTTCTTATCAAACATTTGTATTCATAAATGTGCTTTTTTCCATATAGATTCTACACGTTTAGCTTCATATGTAACTCCAAATAATATGCTTGTCATTGAAGTACCTATTCATAATCCAAAAGCAGAGCGATGGGTTGCTCAAGCAAAGAATGATAATCAAAGTTTAGCACAATTTGGTCAATATCGTGATCCTCTGTTTGATTATGTTGGATTTTTGACTGGTTCAGATTTTCAACCACGTATTGTTGATAAAGATAATAATCAAAAACAACTTGAAATGTCAATCGGAATGAAGAATTATCGACCAGATGAAATAAAAGTATCAGTTAAAAATAATGAATTAATTATTCAAGGTGAACGTCAACATACAGATAAGAATCGTTCAGAACGATTCTTCTTCTTTAAATCCACAACATTACCACCTGGTACACAAATTGATCAATTACAATCAAGTTTAACTGATGATGGACAATTGAAAATCGAAGCACCGTATATTGAACAAAAGGAAGCGACAAAATCAATTGAAAATCAGAAGAAATAAAGTCAGCAATGTTTTTATCAGAGACATAGTCATGTTTTTGCATTCTCTTGTATAGTTTTTGATAACGTGTTTTTTTTTCTTGTAATTTATTATTAGAGAAATAAAAGTAAAACAAAAATCTAAATTATTTCTTTTGGTAATTATTGTCTATAATAATTTTATTTATAGAAGCAACCCGTTCCAAAAAGTTTTAACCATTTATTATTGTACTATTTTATTGATATTTCTCGTTCGCTAGACTATAGACTACATAGTTTTCAAAATCTAGTCTGTCATTCGTATTGTCCGTTAAAAGATACTGAAAATTGATTGTTGAGTTATTTGACTAGACTTTTATGAACTTTGTTGTATGGGAAAGATGAACCAGCTACTAATACAACAAATACAATGATAACAAGAAAAAAAAACGAGAATATCAAAAAAGAAAAGGACATGATGAATATGTATTCAAAGAAAAATTAAAAATAACGAAGCAACTGTTGAAACATTATACTTATTGTCGTATCCAAGTTTGATAAAGCATGAAAAAAAAAAGAAGATACTACATGAGTTTAATGAATCGAATATTAAAAATAAAACGAAATTAATAAGTTTTCTAGAAATACATATTTGTAAACAGGTTTGAAAAAAAGTCAAAGAGAAAAAAGTAGTGTAGGTGTAATCAAGAAAATAACCAATCAAGATAATATATTTAAAGGTGAAAATTCGAAAGAAAAACATAATTCTTAACTAATTGAACATACAGTTGTTTCATCAACACGTAGAATTTTTAGGAGTGCACGTAAAAAATAATTTATTGTTCCAAAACGTCCGCTCGGTGCTGAATCATAAAAATGTAAACAAATACCAGCTGCTGATCCACATGGATTACCACTAGCACAACATTTTGTTGCATCGCCACCTGATGCTCGTTGATCTCGTAAAAATATTTCATTGGCTGTCGAAACAATATCTTCAATACTAATTATTTCATCCCAATGAAATCTATAGAAATATTAATATAAATAGAACATTAGAAAAAGAAAATAACTATGATGAAATTATAAAATTTACCGAGTATCACCAAGTGCGATTGATGTTAATATAACACAAGCTTCAACAATCAGTTGTCGATATTCAGTAAATGGTACACGATTAAGAGCTTCCTCAACACGTAATGCAAATTTAATTTCTTCTTGAGTCATTTCTTGTGTTAAACTGTTATACAGAATATAATCAGCTATTTTAATACCTTTACACTAAAATAATCAATAGCAAAAAAAACACGTATTTAACATAATAAGATTGAACTAAAGATCATGTTCACAAGACCTATGCTGAGTAGAACCTGTTAGTTTCAAGATTTTTGACTCGGTCATATTTGGAATCAATCTGACGTCTTCTAAATACTAACATATACATATATTAAATACTTCCTCATCAGTCATCTAAACTTTATAAGAATTCAAATTGAATTATAGCTCTTATTATACCCTATATCAATAAGCATTTTCGAAATATCCTATTTAGTAAAATTTTTAAAGCAAAGTTCTGAAATCAATGGATCATTCAATTTTATTCGGGACATGAAGTCGAAATAATCGTACGTTTATTCAATTCACCAGTAAACTTTCTTGACATGAATATCAACCTGATTCTAAGATTGATTAGTTAGAAATAAATATATAATCATGGAAAACTTTTTATCTAATAATCATATTTCTATTTGTATAACGTCTTTTTTGATATTTCGAATGCTTAGTGTATCCACATGAGTTATAAGTCATACGTACAAAACTCCATTTTCATATATATGTATATATATGATTCATTGACATTGAAATATTCACCTTTTCAAGTGTTTGCCAAACTTGTCCATAGAATCGAACAGGTACACGATTCAAAGCACCATCAAGACGCCGTCGACGAATCCATTGACCATGTTTTCCAACATCATCATCATCATCTTCCGATGGATGATCACCCCAATTTAAATGAACACTTAATTTTTTGGTACTTGCTTCTTTAATTTCATTACGTATAATACGCATATCACGTTCTTGTTTAGATAAATCTGCGAATTCTGGTGCTGGTTTTGTTGAATGTTCAGTTATACCAAATTCTTTACCACTTAAAATAATATGTAATAAACATTTTATTTCATACGGACTTAAATTCAATAAATGATCTGTTGTATCTTCATCAGATGATTGTAATGTACGTTTTAATTCACCAAGCATAACTTGTACAATAAGACCTACACGTATACGTATCATACCAGCAAATAATTGTGGTTCAGTACTAATAAATGTATGTAAAAATACTAATATTTCTTGTGTTAACATAACCATTGTTGGATCATTTCCAGTTGCTGCTACTATTGTATTATATAATTGTTCAACTGTCATTGGACTTGTTAAAACATGTTCACGTGGTGCTGGTGGTAAACCAATAGTTAACTGTTTTTGTTGTGCAAGTATAGCAATTAAACTTTGAGCAATACTTTGATTTTGCATTCCTAACATACCAGCAGAATGACGTACACACCACCAAACACGTTGTTTACATGCACGATTATAAAGTTCTTGAATAAGGTCACGAACTGTTACATGATGTCCATTATGTTCAAATTCAAATTCAATACCTCTGTAGAAATAATAAAATTAAAATTTTTTTTTTTATTTTGGAAGTTTTATTTAAAAATATTTTTGCCAGTGATAGGCCTAAATTGAAGTATTTTTTTTTAATACATTTATTATAGGTTTTATTGACAATATTTCTTTCTAAAAGAATAGATAGTCAATGTTGATCATCAATTGTTTTGACCTATGTGTCATCTCTCAATATGTGCTAAACTAATTCGTTTTTAGTATAAATTTAAGAAGTCGAAGAGGTATTTTGGTAAAAGGACAACTATATTTTGAAAATATCATCGTACTCCAAGGACATGGCTATATAGATATCTAGGTAAAAATAAAAGTACTTAACTACATAGTTTTGTAATAAAAGCCTTAAAAGGATTTGTGTTTTGACTAAATTATCGAGGTTTTTCAAGAGGCTCCAAGTTTTCGAAAAACTCGTATTATCGAATGCAGAGACTCAATTAGACTAGTTAACATAACAAGTATTTAGAAATTTCGAAGAAAAGTTTCTTCGTGGTATCAGACTTTCAAAATTTTTAAATTCGTTTGCTATAGTTAGTCTAGTTCAGTTCTCTATATACGCAATGTTTCAGTTTCCAATAAAAGAAAATACGAGTGTTCGGAATTGTAATTCGATTGGATGGAAAATATATCTGAAATTTTCTTTTCAGAACAAAGAAATCTAATTTTACTTACTTATTCATACATAAATAATGTAAAATATCTGCTTGATCATGTATAGATGAAGCATGTGGAAGAAGAGCAATAATATCATGTACTTCTTTATCTCTTAATAAATTATCACGTCTATTTGATGTTGATAGGGTATGTTCATCAACACGTATATGATTTAAAACATTTGTATCATTTTGATCATCTTGATCATCAGCAATATTTGAATTAAGAATATTTTGTGCTATAGTACCATCACTTGCATGATGACTATAACTATAACTACGTTTAACAGCACCACGTATTTGTGCTAATTTTTTTATTCGATATCGTTTTTGATAACGATAATCAATATTTTGATAGGATAAAAAGTTTGACATTTGATTAAAATCTGAACTTGATTGTAACAATTCCATTAATTTATCTTCAGGATCTTCATCATCATCTTCACGAAAAACAAAATCAAGACTTGTTACACATGATGTATTTATAAAATCTTCTAATTTTCCCATTTGTACTCGTACACCATTGGTATAACCAACTTTTATTTTCTTTAATGTTTGTATAACATTTTTAGGTATTGGATCGACATCTATTAAATCTGAACGTAATATAAATACAACAACAGGTCGTCCTGTTATATTATTCCAATTTCTATTTAGAAATGACATATAAGTACGAAAACGATCTATTATATAATCTATATCAGATGCTAAATAGAATGTATTTTGATCCATAAACTAAAACAGGAAACATTATTGTTTTAAAACTTATGAAAAAAAAAACAAACTGACCGATGGCGTAAATGCTAATGTTCTTCCACATATTGTATAAAGTTTTGATGTTGAAAATGGACCCATATCAAATGATGGTCGACCAGTAAGACCCAGACGTTCATTTTTTCCTTAAAAATAATATTATATATATATAACATAAAATAATTGTTGTTTTTTCATATGAGTTTCATACCAAGATGTGAATAAATATTTTGTAATACTTGTACTGATCGAACTTGTATTAATTCAAGATCTTTTATTTGTTGAATATGTATACCAACTGAAGCTAATTTTGATTGTATAACGTCACTATCAGTTAATACACAAACTTGAACAAAACCTTCAGGTTTTGGTTCAGTTATAAGACGTCGATTTAATGGATCAAGTTCACCAGGTGCTAAGAAACCCTTTAAAAACATTCAAAAAAAAATAATAATTTCAATGATAAAGTAAAATTAATGTACTTCTTTAACAAGCATAGCCAAAATAAAAAGAGATTGACCCCACATATGAGGTATTCGACCCATTGGTATTCGATTTGTACTATGTGGATCACGTTTTTCAGCCTCAACCTAAAAGAATTAAATAATATAAATTCAGTTGAACAAAAAGACCCATAAATGATCGAATAAACACTACTACTTCCTTAATTTGATAAATATATCTAACCAAGTCGTATTGCTATTTTTTTTTAAATAAAACTAGTTTTCAAAATATTGCTGTCGGTTATCTGTCATGTATACAGTGGCTCACACAATTATTTTTCCAGGTTTAAGTTTGAGACTAAATTGAGCAGAAGTTATTGTAATTATCAGACACAAAAGGATGACTCTTGTAACAGATGTGACCTAATGTAAATTTTATTGGAGAAACTCGTGAAGTGAAACAAAGTTCATCACTGTCAATGCAATACGTTTAAGTTGGCCTTAAA